GCTAGTGGAAATATAGATTAATCTTTTTGAAGATGAATAGTTTTATGAATTAAGAATATTAAACATGTTCATGCCCTTCAATCCAATAATTCTACTTTGGGGACATTTTAAGAAATAGATATCAGAAGCACAAAAAATGTAACACAAAATTTTTCATTGTGTGACTTACGATAGGGAAAAAGTGAAGTCAACTGAAAAAACTTTTAAATAGTGTGTCATTAAAATATGGTTTAGGGGCTGGGGATATGGCTCAAGTGGTAGCGTGCTCACCTGGCATTCATGAGGCACTGGGTTTGATCCTCAGCACCACATAAAAATAAAATAAAGATTTTTTTTAAATATGGTATGGACGCATAATGGTGTACTTACTCTGTGGCCATTGAAAATGTTATTTCATAAGTGTAATGTGAATTCTCCCAACATGATGTAAAGCAAATCAAAAAGCAGGAAACAGCTTGTGATCACACCACTAATGGTTGTAAATGCCTTTTTACTCATGAAATCAAATGTCAAAATCTATAATGGTGGGAGAGGGCTACTAAGTCAATGCTTCGCTCCTAACACACACACACACACACACACACACACACACACACACACACACAACTCCAGTTATGGACCTTAGTTGATTATAATGTATCAATATTGCTTCATCAATTATAATAAATACACATTAATATGAGATTATTAATAACAGAGAAAACTATTGGGGATGGTGGGAAGGGATATATTAGAATTTCACTTTCTATGCAATTTTTCTGTAAACTTAAAGCTGCTCTAAGAATAATAATTTTTGAAAGTCCAATTGAAAATACCAGACATAAAAAGCATGATATCATAACTGAATGGTTTATTCTACTAACTTATCTGAAAAAGAATATGACAGAGAAAAGAACCAATGAACTCATGCTGTGAAACACTAAAAGGAAAAAAAGGTGGAAAATGAACATAACATCAAGAGATGTAGGATAATATCAAACAGTCTTACATGCAGAGGAAAAAAGAGAAAAAACAAGATGGAAAAAATATAGTTCTTGGGGCTGGGGTTGTGGCTCAGTGGTGAAGTGCTTGCCTAACATGTGTGAGGCACAGGGTTCAATCCTCAGCACCGCATAAAAATAAATAAATAAAGGTATTGTGTCCATCTACAACTAAAAAAAATTTTTTTTTAAATGTAGCTCTTTCCTAGCAAAAGTTTAATATTTGCTAAGATACACCATATCCTGGGAAATAATGTAAATTTTAAAATAAGTAAAATCAAACAAGGTAAGTTCTCTGGCCACAAAGAACCAAACTATTAATCAATAACAGAAAGATAATAGAAAATTCTCCAAATTATTAGAAATTAAATTCCATACTTTTAAATAATCCATGGATCAAAGAGGAAATCTCAAGAGAAATGAAAAGATATTTCACAGAAAGAAGGTGAAAGAATAACACATAAAGGTCTGTAATTTATGGCTAAAGAATTAACCTCTTTGGAAAAGGAGATTAATAGTACTAATGACATATATTAGAAAAAAAGAAAAGTCCTCAAGCTATATAAGTTCCCATCAAAAAACTAAAAAATAAAAATAAAAATACACCCAAAAATAAACATAAGGAAGAAAATAATAAAGATGAAAACAAAATTAAAATATAAAAAAGCAATAAAGAAAATCAATAAGCTAAAAACCAGGTCTTTGAAAGCACCATAAAATTGACAACATTTTAGCCAAACTGACACAAAATACAAATATAAGGAAAAAAGAGGGGACATCACTACAAACCCATTTAAATGATATTAAAGGATTAAACAAATTACTCAAAAAAACACAGAGTACTCACCAAAAATGAAATAGATGAAAAGCTTTTTAACCTATGGGCAAAATTGTATTCCCTGCTCCCCATTCCTATGTTGAAGCCCTGGTCATCCAAAATCTATTTAGAGATGGGGCTTTTGGTGACTAATTAGGTGTAGATGAAGTCAAGAGGACAGGGCCCTCACAACAGAATTCACACCAGAGGAAAGGCCATGTGAGAACATGACAAGAGGGCAGCCGTCTACAAGTAAAAAGAGAGCTCTAACCAAGAAACAAATCTATCAGCTCCTCAATCTTGGACTTCCCAACTTTTGGAACTGGGAGAAATAAATTCTTACTGTTTAACCCAGTCTGTGGTATTTTATCATTGTATGGTGACCTCAGCTAAGACACAGATCAAATCCATATAAAGAGTAAATACTATAGCCAAGTGTGCTTTATTCTAGGAATGCAAGGCTGGGCCAATATTTGAAAATCAAAGTCATTCATCATGTTAATAGTCTAAAGAAGAAAATCTTCCTTTACTGTTATGATCATATCAATTGAATCTGAAAAGGCATTTGACAAAATTTGCACTCATTCGTGATTTAAACTAAACAAAACTTAGCAAACTAAGACTAGAAGGGAACCTTCTCATCTTGGTAAAGAACATCTACAAAAACATCCAGCTAATATCATATTATATACAATGATAAAAGATTAGGTACTTTCCCCCTACCATTAGGAAAAAGTCAAGGGTGCTTGCTTCCTCTCACCACTTCTCTTTAAAACAGTATTGGAAGTCAGACCTCACCAGTGCAATAAGGCAAGAAAATAAAAGATTGGAAAGAAGAATTCAAACTGCCTCTATTTGCTGATGATATGATTGTCTACATAGAAATATCTAAGGGTTCTAAACAAACAAAAACCTCTTAGAACTTGTAAAGGTAAAATTTCCAAGCTGATTCTAAGCCGCAGAGCCTGAGTTAAAGTGTAAAGGACCAGGCTTGTAAACCTGCTTCTAAAACTGCAAAGCATGGGTTAAATTCCTGAGGCAGTTAGGACAAGGCCCTACTGGCCATTTAGTGATTTATGGACTGGGGTCCTGTGCAACTCCTCACGTAAGCATTCAAGACCCTGTGCAGTTTGTCACGTAGATATTCAGGGTCCAAACCAATCAGTTTGAATGTGTACCCCACCTAGGAGCACCAATCACTCCTGCCCTGATTGTACCCGCCAATGTATACACTAATCCTGACTCAGGGTTGTTGTTCAATTTTCCCGCGCCTCATGATGATTTGTTCTGATGTATGCAAAGCCCCCCACCCTCTCCGAAAAGTGTACTTAAGCTCCGCTTGAACTCTGCTCTTGGCTCTGGGCTGCTCTCCCTTCTTGAGTGAGCACGGAGCCCCAGCGCGCTGGAATGGATCCCCAATAAATATCCCCTTTTGCCAATTGCATGGAGTCAGTCTCTTGGGTGGTCTCCCTCTCCGACGTATCGCCAGAACTTTACAAACTAATTAATAGGTTTACCAATGTCACAGGATGCAAAGCTAATATCCAAAGATTAATCTTATTTCTATATAACAGCAATAACTATTAGAAAACAAAATTAAAACCACACTATCTCATTTAACTAGGTAAAACTTAGTTAAAACTTAACAAACATGATGAAAAAGAATCAATAAACTTAAGTGTAAGATCCTTGCTTAGCATCTGGGTGGCCATCTTAAGTGACAGTCACCATTTTAAGGAAAGGTTTTGCTTTTCCTGCCCAAGGGCTTTTCTGAGAAAGGCTCACCACTCCCTCGTACCAACCCCAACCCTTCACCACCTGAACTGTTTCCTGCCCAGTGGAAACACTGGGCGATTAGGGTGGGGTTGGTACCCCTCACCCTAATCGCCCACATTAGGACCCTCTTGGCTCTAATCCCTGAGCCACCCCTATAAAAGTCTCCAACCCAAGTCTGTACGCCTTTCCCTATCTATGGAGAGAGGTGCCTTTATTTGTCAGCTCTGACAAACTCTTGTGTGTATCTCTGCCTGGTTTCTTTAATTTCTCGCTTGCTGTCTCCCGCTTTCCTTTCACTAAGTAGGTGAAAGGACATACCTTGTTGGTGAACTAGAAGATTTAGATAAAAGCCAGTTTTCAATTCTTTCTAAATAGATCTTTTTCATGCAATGCCCACCAAAACTGCAGCAGGACTTTTTGTTGGTGCAGACAAGCTGATTATAAAATTCACCAGCTGCTGGGGATAGAGAATTATGAGCATAAGTAGATAATCATCATTGTTTGCCAGTGCTTTGATCTTCAGCTTGCCTTCTTTGAAGGAACTTTCATAGAAAACCCTTTTGATGATAAAACCTATATGATAAACATGCTGAGCTAGCTCTGGGTCATTGTTCTTCCACCAGAGGATGATGTCGCACCTGGTCCCAGTTTTCTCTCTCTAAGTATTTCTTTTCTAACCACCCCCACCCAGTCGCCCCTTGCTGGTTTCTGAATTAATGGCCATGCAGATTGTAGCACCCTCCCACTAAGTTTGGACTGGACCTAGAAGTTCACTTCTCATGAAAAAATAGCCAATGAGTGATGGACAACTCTTTCAAAATTAAACTCCAACTGGCCAGATTTCCACACTGCTCACAACCTCTCTCTTGCTTGTTCGTTCCACTGAAGCCATTAAACCCTCATGCCATTAAAGAGAAAAGCTCTTTTTTTGCCAGTTGGTGAACAGCTCTATAGAGAGGCACACATGGCAAAGAACTGATGGATCCTCTGCATAATAGTCAATAATTAAACAGGCCCCGTTGAATCCTTGCAACAACCATCTTGTGAAATTGAAAGCAGATTCTTCTCCAGATGAGCTTTGGAAAATCTGCAACCCTGGCTTGTACATTGATAGCAACCTTGTGAGACTCCCTAATCCAGCAACCCATCTCAGATTCATTGATATTCTTGACCCCTAGAAACTGCAAAACAATAAATTTTTGCAATTTTATCCACCAAACTTTGGGGCAATTAAGTACATGGCTTTAGGTTATTAATACATAGGGATTGCAAAGAGTCAGGAACCTTGATGTTGATTGTGGTGATGGTTTCACAGGTAAACACATGCATCAGGACTCATCAGACCATATAACTGGATACAAATTATATTGGATTTATTGTATATAAATTGTAAATTCTATCATTCATTTTATGTCAATGTACTTAAATGAAGTTGAAAGTACATTATGAAGTCGATGGAAGAGGTGATACGTTCACCCTAGATTATCTCCTCCCTACAAATATCACTTCCCAAAAAAAGAGTTCTTCTCTTTAATGGCATGAGGGTTTATGTACCTTAAGTTCATACTGTCCTAACAGTACTAGATAATAATGACCTGTATTACTCTATTTACTGTGATAGCCACTGACTTATCTCAAATTGTTCTTTCTTCAGGAGTTATCATGCTTCTGATTGACCTGTAGTCAGGTTACTAATCTGGGTGTCTTGGAGGCACCGTATGCCCTGCAGTTTGAGCTTATTTCATTAATTAAAGCACCCACATGTCGATGCTAATTCTGTGCCTGATAGTCTAAGCTGATGATAAGAGAGATCACTACGGGACCTGCCTTTATGGAGTCTATGGTCTGGTGTGCTCATGTTTGAGAGTCACCCACTGTCCTAGCCTTCTCAAACATAATTTCGCCAAATATCTTCCATGAATATATCATGTGTGCCCACTGGATGTTAGAAGGAATTTGGATGAAGAAGATATGTAGGCTGTTGTCTTTGGCTTGGTTCTTGGTGTTCATGCTTCTGGGACATCATTCTGACCCTTTGTCATGGCCTAACACTTTGAGGAAAGCCCTCTTCACATCTTTGTTCCGGAGGCTGTAGATGATGGGGTTCAGGAAAGCAGAGATGACATTGTAGAACAGAGCCAGCTTCTTATCCTCTTCTGGGGAGGACTCAGATCCAGGTCTCATATACATGACCATACATGGGATAGAGAACATGGTGACCACAGTGATGTGAGAAGCACAGGTGGAGAAGGCCTTGAGCCGCCCTTGGGTTGAGCGGATCTTCAGGATGGCAGCAAAGATGTTGATGTAGACAATGATGATGAGGGAGAGTGGAACCAAAAGAAGAATGAATCCCAGGATGAAGTCCACCTGGTCATTGAGAGAGGTGTCTGCACAGGCCAACTTCAAAACAGCAGGGACTTCACAGAAGAAGTGGTTGATCTCATTGGGGCCACAGTAGGGAAGAATCATAGCAGAGACTGTGTATATCAGGGCACAACTGATACCCCAGAATCCACAGAAGGCCACCAATGACCCACACAGTGAAGGGCTCATGATGACTTTGTACCTGAGAGGGTGGCAAATGGCCACATACCTGTCATAAGCCATGATGGCAAAAAGCCAAGACTCAGTGATTCCCAGCATCAGGAAGATGTACATCTGGGCCACACATCCCATGTAAGAGATGGTCTTCTTCTCACACACCAGATGCACCAGCATCTGGGGCACTGTGGTGGTGACATAGCCCATGTCCAGAATGGATAAGACACTGAGGAAAAAGTACATGGGCGTGTGGAGGCGGAAATCCATGCGTATCAAAGTGATAATGAGCCCATTGCCCAGGAGGGTGATGAGGTAGAGGAAGAGAAAGACACCAAATAGAATAGCATTTATCTTTGTGTCCCTGGAGAATCCTAGAAGAATGAATTCAGTAACAGAGCTGTGGTTTCTCCAGAGCGAGTCCTGCATCCTTCTGCTGTAGAGAAAAAAACAGAGAGCAAGAGTTATCATCATGAAGGTGGAGTCTCCAGACTAACCCTGCAGCTATTCTTGTAACAGGAGTGCCAAACCCAAGTAGCAAAATAAATACACAATAGAACCCACAAAGCCAGGGACCAAATTTTTTAAAACAATTTCCACTTGCTAGAAAACGGCATGTTAATATTTTACTATATAATTTTAGTTTATTCAGAGATCTCAAGTATCAAATTCTACACTGAAATGTAGAATTTGGAAAAAAAAGAGGGTCCAAAATTAATGTCTTGCATTTCATAGTTCGTTTAACTTATAAAAAAATTCAAAGAGATTAAGGAAAGAATCGGATGGTTAAGAACGTAGCAATTGTTATGCATTTCATACCCGATGGGAAAATATGCCTCCACCTAGGAACTCCTCCCCAAATCAGTCTCAGTTGGGCCACTCAAAGAGCTTGATGGGACACAAGGAACTTTAGAGACACTGTTACTAGAGCTTGGAATAGCAAGAAAATAACCATTACTTAGAAATAAATTATATTCCATGAAGGGTCAAAATCCTGTGTTTTCACGAATCAGAGGTGAGTGATACCAGGTGGTGGAGGTAATGAAATAACTTAAAAAGTAATGTTCAACAGTTTTCCCAAATGGAGGAAAGGTGTCGACCTATGGAATGGAGCTGCTGTCCATTGAGCTCCAGGAAAGATAAATACAAAGAAAAACTGCTGATAAACCAAAAATGCCATCTTCAAAGAGGCCTTAGGAAAAAAACACCTTTAAATGAACAGCAATGAGACAGGCTCAAGTCTTGCCACAGAAACTATAGAAAACAGAAGACAACTGAATGACACTTGTAATGTGTTGAAAGGGGAGAGAGACGGGGAAGAGGGGGGAGGAGAGGAAGGGAAGAGGAGTGGAGAATAGAAAACCACCAACTCAAACCTTTATGGTCAACAAATATATCCTTCAGAAATTAAAACTGTTTGCTCTCAAATGAAAACAATAACTGATTACCAAAAGACCCACAGTAAAAGGGATTTTAAAGAACTCCTTCAGTCTGAAGGAAAATGATCCTTGACAAATGCATAAAAATGAAGAAAGAATAAAGATGAGAAAAATACGAAGCAGTGTGGGTAAACATGTAGAATGTCAATTGTTTAAAGCAACAAAAATAAGAATATCTCGTGGATCTTGGAGTGTGTGTGTGTGTGTGTGTGTGTGTGTATGTGCATGTGTGTGTGTGTGTCTATATGTAAAATATATGACAAAATAGCCCAACAAGTAGGAAGGGAAATGGATAAATGGACCTAAACTATTCTAAGATTTCTGCATTGTTTAGGAAGTGGTAAGTACTAATTTAAATGAGCCTGCAATAGGATGCATGGTTCAGTCTCCAGGTGAGGTGTTAGAATACCCCCTCTGTAGAGGTCCAGATAGTATCTCAGGCTTTGCCAGCTATACAAAGTCACTGTGGCATTCTTACAGACATGCACCATGTAACAATTGAGTCAAGAATAGACAACATATATCACAGTATGCTCTGAGATTATAATGGAACTAAAAAAGTCCTATTGTCCAGTGATATCATAGCTGATGTACACTAATACATTTCTCAACTATTTGTGCTGACACTGGTATAGACAAACCCACTTCACTGCCAGGTGCACAAAAGTTTAGCACATACAATTACACATAGCACCCAGGTGTGGGTCATGGATGGGAGATGGTGCCATTCACTGAGATGATCAACACGGGAGTAGAAAGTTTGGGGAAGGAGATGAGAAGATCATATGATAAGTCTAGTTCATGGCTCAGGCAGCTTGTGGGATCCCTTGTGTCTGTTGGATTCTTGTGTCTAGAACTGAAGAAAAAGCTTTGAGGTAGGAATGTGAATGCCATTGACACTCTACAGCTGCTAAAGCCATTGCGGGGATGAGGTCACCCCAGAGGGTGTATAAAAGGAGAGAGCTAAAAGCAGAAGACTGCAAAACCACAGCACTTAAGGGCTGGCTTCAAAGAGAGACTCCAGAGAGGAAAATGGTATTAAGGGGCCGAGGAAGCATGACATCTGACACAGGGATTAGAGACAAAGTCTCCAAGGAGAGGATAGTTTTTGTGGTCAAATGTTTATAGACATCAAGTGAGACAAGAATCAAAAAAAATACCCACTGTTTTTAGCAGCAAGGAAACTTTGAAAGAATAGCTCCAAAGTTTATTAGGACAAGCCATTGTTGGCTAGCTTTCTGAGACATTTGCACAAGGTGGACAAGAGGTATAAGTCAGGAGAAACGTGGTGAAGGAAGTAGATTTTAATGACATAAGAATGACAGCTTGCTGATGGAAATTGTCAATTATGCAAGAAGGGTGAAAATACAGGGAAGTGACAGACTAAATCGTGGAGAGGGCTTTGATGGATCAGGAGAGAATCAGCTCCAGACTAGAAGAGGAGGGATTGGATTCAAATCAGAGGAGGGGCCTCCTTGATGGAAGGGCGGTAAGAATGAGCATAGACAGGATACCTGGAAAGTCATCATCAGGTCAAAAATTGGGAAGTAGATCGTTGTCAAGTTTACTGGATAACTCTGAGTTCTTTCCTTTTCAACATCTGTTTTGCCTAAAATGAGGACAGCAAATGCAGTGCACACAGAATCAGGATCCAAAACCATCCAACAAGAACTATATGTCAATCAATGGAAGGGTAACTGATATGATACAGCAATTTGTATACGGGGTAAAGTTGGGAGTTCATAACCCACTTGAATCAAACTGTGAAAGATGATGTATTAAGAACTGTGTAATGTTTTGAACGACCAACAATAAAGTAAAAAAAAAAAAAAAAAAGAACTACAGTCTGAAACCAGTCTGTGCTTACATGCATCTCCACATTTCTCCCTTACACAGAACTCCATGCTGACAACTGCCTCCTTGAAACCCCTTCCTGGATATTTAACAGTCACCTCTAACTTGTGTGCAAAACTAAATTCTTGATTTTCACTACATCATTTACCTCTTGGGTCTCATCTCCTTTGCTGTTGCCACTGTTCACTCCACAAAACCCACACTGTAAACCTTTCTGTTCCATCGTCTGCCACCCAGGCTTTCACCTAAAAACCTTTGACATAATACTCCACCTGTGCTTCTTTCACCAGGTACCTTCATATTGGGCTTGTTCCCTTACTTCTGATCTTCTGCAAGGTTATCATCTCATCAGGGAACTCTTTTCTTACCATTCTTTATGAAATATGGCTGTCCTTCTCTGTTTCTTTAAATTGCTTCATTTTTCATTATACTTCTCACTTCTTAAAAAAAAAGAACTTATCTACTTGTCTAATTATTATCTGCTACCCCCAATGAGATGATTAAAGCAGAAATTTTGTCTTGTCCACTAATATGTCTCCAGTGTCAATCATTGTACCCAGTGCATGGTGGGAACTCAGTGAATATTTACTAAACTAAGAAAGCGGGCATAGAAGTTTTGGACTCCATCCTAAAAGCTATGACAGCAGGAAAAAGAGGGATGATTGACATCTGTCCCCTCCAGGGGGACAAACACATTTGGATGGTAGATTCTACTATGCCTGTGACCCATGCCTTAGAGGGATATGTGGAAGGTTCGGGCCTGTAGGAAGATATGTTGTAATGAATAAATTTAAGCAAGTGGTGATGTTTTACGCTGCAGAAATTTAAATTACGGAGGATGATGAGGTCCATCTGCAGAAGTATCTGAAGGGCTTTGTTAAGGAACCATGGATAAGATTTGTTGAACAAAGCTCCAAGCATAGAATTGGGCATAAATATCACCAGCATGACAAGCTGAAGATTTTCTGTGGGCTGTTCCCAGATATAAAAGACCATCCTGAGAGGCAAAGAGCTCTGTTTCTGTTGGGAGGTAATTGAGGTTACACTCAGATCATGCAGATGGGCTTTTATTGGGATAAGGATGGAGTCAGTGCCCTTATAAAGGAGGAGGAGACACAGGACATGTAAGGACGTAACCAAGAAGAGGGCATTCATTCACAGAACCTACTCAGACTTTCCAGCCTCCAGAATTGTGAGAAATAAATTTCAGTTTCCTAACCCCCCCCCATCTATGCTATTTTTGTTATAGGAGGCCAAACTATAAGACAACATGTGAGGGATGCATGGGCATTAACCCAGCCTTAGAGAGAGAAGGTCTACTGAGGTCCAGTCTATCAGGAAGAGTTAAGGACCCTCCCATCTTCTTTGTCCTCTTTATTTTCTAATTTTCCCTGGTCCTGATGCCTGGAGAATTGTAGTAACCCCTCACTTGTGACTACCCTCTCCCAGGCCTACCTGCTTACTTGGCCCAATGGCATTTTTTTTTTTTATTGTTGGTCGTTCAAAACATTACACAGTTCTTAATACATCATCTTTCACAGTTTGATTCAAGTGGGTTATGAACTCCCAACTTTACCCCCTATACAGATTGCTGTTTCACATCAGTTACCCTTCCATTGATTGACATATTGCCAATGGCATTTTTTAAGAGCAGTCTTGATAAAAGAACTTTTTCACATGATCTGTGCCTGTTACTATGGGGCAGAATGTGGAAAAGAGAATGGATGCTTAAAGGGGAAGAGGCAGAGAGAATGGGAGGTGGGGCTGGGTGAACAGGCTACAGAACACATTCAGCCCTGCTGTCCTGGGTGATTGTAATAAGGAACATCACTGGATGGCAAGGATATGCGTGAGAGGCAAATGTCCGCTGTTCAATAAGAGATCCTTAGAGAAACTCTCAGTTCCAAGGTTGTTCCCCAAATCCCTACCTTCCCTTTGAACCCCTCATGCACTTCTACCTTCTATCTTCTATCCAGGGCTGTCTCGCTCATCTCCCCATCTCCCATCTGCCACCCTCTTGTCAGGACCAAACCTGGTTAAGATGGGGACATGGAACAGCCAATTACCTTAGCCTTCCTGAAAAAGTCCCTGTTCTTTCGCCTTGTCTTTCCTGATAACTGAAGACCAGATGCTTGA